ATACTGCTCACGAAAACTGTAAAATCCAAAATGAAAACTCTGCACGGAAAAATCTTGTAGTGTTTGCGCCAATCTGCTAAACAAAAATCTCATGCACTGATTTGGATTCAAGCGGACCAGATTCGTCAACGTAGCTCCGCGCTACCATGGAGAAATATATGGAAGATAACTACACTAAGGGCCTACACTACTAACAAGAACCCTGAGCAACTCTTTGACACTACAAGGCTGCGTGGTACACTTCTCGATTTGTTCGATTTGTGCATGTCACCCAAGAACGTGTTGACCTGGGCTGCAGGGGCCATGCTAATCTTCTCTGGGTCGTTGCATTCCGACAATTGCACATTTAGACGGAACATAGCTTCCAATTGGGTTACACTGCGGGTTCCTTAGCCTTAGCCCCCCTCCCATGCTCCATCTTGAATGAGCTTCCTCCCTTCTCAACTGGGTTGTAACACCGAGCGCTTCCAATGGACTCTGCACCTGTGGCAGGTCTGTATTCCCAAGGGTAGGGGCTTAGCACCAGACATGTCATACAACGCAACGTCCGTGACGAGGAGTACTGCCGCATACTTCTGCAATACCAATTCCCTTTCCGGCGCCAAGCTTCTCCGCCACCTGGAAGTGCTTACACTGTTGTGCGCCCCGAGGTACGCAGTCAAGCCAAGACCCCCATAACGAGGAGCGAATCACCAATCAAGATAAACACACTTCTTACTTCCCGTGGCGGACTGTGCAACATATGGACGTGAGAGACTAAGCAGTTCTCTACAAAGATTTCACACCTATCAAAACCCCAATCTGGAAGGCCACTTCAGCACGACTGCTATGCATCCTGTTGAAGAGGTTTGTCTTTCTTTCTTCTTCTATAGTCTACGCGTTCTCTTACGAGCACGCTTGGGCTAGGCCCCAGCCCACACCGTCCGTTTAGGCGCAGCCAGGAGGCTCCCATGCTCACCAGATTGTTGAGAGCATACCCCTTCTTCTTCTGCTTCTATGGTTATACACCCCAGAAGAGCGATGGGCTTCTCCTCATAACTCCCTCAAAGGTGCAAGGCAACATGTGTCAAGAAGGCTGACACTGAGTAGCATATTGAGGGCCCTCACTCTGGATGGGCTTTCAAGCGAGACTAGCAACCACTTCTACCACGCCTATGGGGCTAGACCTTAAGGGTTCAGCATGCATATTTGCGCTTAGTTCGGTTGGTTTGGTCTCCGACACTGTGCTGCAGAGTTTGCCACTCGTCCAAGGTGTCCGCTTTCTCAGCTCTCCCTCTCTTGCGCGTCGTACTCTTTCAAGTAGGCCACCCAGTCTATGGCTTGGGCCTCCTCCTGGTGGCTGCGTGGGCGCGCTTTCCCCCTCCTGTCTCGTGAGGCACTTTCTTGTCAATCCTTCCCCAACCATCTGCTCCACCACCCGTCATCGCCCCCCCGAAGTACTCCGCGCCTTGGGCTTGACACAGGACTTGGACCTACCCTTTGCCATTCCAATCGGATGGTCCGATGGTAGGGTACGATGGCTGGGCTCTAGACTCAGGCAAGTACAATTTTCCAAATTTCAACAAAGTAAATAGCAAGACACACGCTGAGAAGCCACGAGGGCACATCATTTCCGAACGCAAGACCTGACACATGCTGACACCAACTCTGCCAGCGTGGCACCCGAAAAATGCCAACTTATGACGTATGTTATTAGGCTGCACATTTCTTTAAACTTCTTCAGGCTTGTGGCTCACAAAGCGCTGCTTCACTGGTTTGCAACAGGTATGTTTTCAGCTCTTGTCATTGGCCCCTTCGTTGGCCTCGCACAAATGACAAACGGGATGGCCCACTGCTGAAAGTCAATGACACTGAACTGCGAACTTCTTTGGTTAGGTTAAACTACAGCTCCTACTCCCTGCCAATTTTGAAAACGAGGTTTTTGGCTATGCCTCATGCCATGTCCAGAAAAGCCCCATGCCTTTGAACAAGAAGCACGCAAGTGAAGCAAAGACCTGCATCAAGAGCATCACGCATCAGGCCACGCATCATTAGCACCAAAAACAACAAACGGCAACCACCACTGCACAAACCAAATTTTGACAAATTACAACCAACCTTGCAACACAAAAAACACGACAACACCACTTTAAAGACTACTCTCCCGGAAAGCTGTACAGCACTTGTAGAGGGGGAAAAGTCGCACACCTGAGCCAAGATGGCGGTTATGTAGGGGAGGAGGGACTTAATGGGGAAGCGGGCCCCCACCCACCTCCGCCAAAAGGTGGGGGGGGAAGGGTATAGACTCTATATGGATAATGATGGATATATGTTGGCAGTGCCAACAATGCCATCTCCTAGATGGTTGAATACCAACCTCCAACGGGTTCCAGCGGTGCTCAAACACTCGAAAGCTGCTGCCAACATACCAACCGGATCCAACCGGTCTAGCAGTGTAGAATGCACTCCGTGGGACACACAGCGCAGCAGCGCAAACCGAAGGAGCTACACTCTTTTGTCCGCAGCAAGAGGCTAAAGGCCTTGATCAAAAAGGATGCCGAGCGTACAGCTGAACATTCACTGCCTGCAGGCGTGACCAAAGCAAGTAGAAGCTTAAGGGCAATATGCCTAGGATTTCACATGGCCCCTATTTTATGTTGCTTTTTTCGGGGTCAGGTTTGCAGATCCAGCGAATGCCTAGCATGAAAGAACGTCACTAAGCTCAGAGCTGTCACAGGCAACAGCCTGATTTGCCAGCTCCACATACTTCACGCTACGTTCCAAAGCCTTCCACACGAGCTTTCCGCTCAGTTCAAAGCAACCAAAGGTTGTACGAAACGGCAAAGCTGCACTAGCAAAGCGAGGCTCAGGAGTTCTCAGCGAACGCGCGTTCTGTGCCACCTTCACGCCAAGCTCGCCCTCGTTACGCCAGCCGCGCTGACTGGACAGCTTCAGGACGTAGCCGAGAATCGGGTCGTTGTTGAGGAGGTCGTCGCCAGGAAGGGCCGTCGAACTAGCCGAAGACGCTGAGGTCGAAGTAGCGCGGCGCTTAGCTCCCCACTCACCAGACTTCATCGTGTTCCTCATGTGAGTCAGGTCCATGTCCTTCGTGCCCCCGTCGACCCACATGTTCTCCGTTGCTGTCCATTTCAAGGACGTCCACGGCCGAACGCAGCCAGGCAACAGTGAAAGCCAGGAACTTCTGAGTTCCATAGCTGCTAGTGTCGCTGTTGCCTTTGTCGCGCACGTCCTTGGCATCCACGACCACGGTGAGGGGGATCGTAGCCAAGGACTGTTCCGCAAGCTTCCCAAGCACCTCCTTGTCTCTGAGGCTCGCCAGGAACCCTCGGCAAAGAAGTCCAACATCGAAGGCTTCCTCAGCCCCAAGAAGCTCTGCCGCATACGACGACCTGCAAACTCTTGGGATGCGGTGTGAACGTGAACTTGCCGGCCGCGCCACTCATCAAAGCCTTGTCCGCAAGGACCACAAAGTAGCAGGCCTGAGAGTAGACCTTTTCGGCAGGGGTCCCCTCACAGGAACCGTTGAGCTTCACACTGCCCAAGGAGGCGTCGGTAACCACCATGAGCCCAGCCGTCCGGTAGTCGATCGGCCTGAAAGTCAGCTCGAAGTTGCAGTCTTGCCGGAAGACACGAACAGCAGCATTCGCGCGGATGGTTCGGCACTCTGAAGAGAGGACACAGTAAAGGCCATGTCAAAGCGAGGCTGCGCCACAAGCCATTGCAGGCTGCCAAGAACGGCTCGAAGTTGACGTCGTTCGTAGTCCGACAGGGCTGCGTCAGCTATAGGGTCCCGACGTCGGCTCGCCGGAAGCTCAGCCTCTCGAAGGTTGCGGCGGTATTCCACCATTGAAAGCCGGATGGTCCCGTCTTCAGCTCTTCGGATGCGCTTCCCGCACCGCACGAAGTCCTCGCACTCAACGGAACCATATCCAAGCTCGTGGCCGACCTTGTCAAAGGAAACCTTGGCCTCGTCATCTCCAGAAAGGAGCAAGTCGTCGACGTGCGCGACCAAGATTCCAGAAAGCTCTCGGTGGCCGGATGGTGAAGTCTTCCCACCAAACACGTGGCGCGTCTGAGAGGCCAAATATGCATTTCTTGACTCTGGCCAGCTGGCCTGGAGCCAAGGGGATTCCAGGGTTGCTGCGAGTGTCGGTGGCACTAAGGTAGAGTTCTCTGTCTATGAACTCATCTCCCTTTGGGAACGCCGCCTTAACGTCCCCGCTCATCAGACGCCAAAGTGGATGAGCTGCCGCCACGCAGAACAAGAAGTGCTGAGCCAGACGGCTCCCCGTAGGAGCGTCCCTGTGCACCAAGTTGTTCAAGTTGCTATGGTCTTTGTATCCAGGGACAACAAGACGAGCAGAAGCCTTGATCGGAAGATCGTGCTCCTTGGTCCGAAGGGGCTCGTGCTTGTCAACCAGCACAAAGCGCGGTTTCATCACACGATCTGCTTCTCCACGGCGCGCCAGCTCCTGGCGCACTCTGGCGCTTTCAGCCATAGAAAGCACTTCCACGGCATCATTATCCACGTAGGCCTTCCATCCAGCCACCGCCGCCTCGCCAAAGAGCGCCTTGTTCTCCGACGAGAGCTTGCTGTAGGTGAACTCTCGCCTCGCGGCTTGAGCGGCAAGGCCTCGTTCTCCACACCGACGGGCAAAGGAAGTCCAAGGCTTTCTCGAAGCTTCCAGTCTCTCTCACACAGCAGGCTCCAACGCCCATCCCAAGTGCCCAGGTCGTACTCCAAGTTGTCAAGGGAAAGCGTCGATCCAGCTCAGCTTGCGCTTGCACTTGCAACAAAGGATGGCTCCAGCTGTCACCGCTCAAGGACTCTAACTGCTCATTGTCCAGAACCAAGGCCTCGAACGGTGCTCTTGTAGTTGAGGTAGTCGATGACGCTAAGGGACCCTCCGGCGGTTGTCGAGATTCTTCACGAAGCTGCGGTGGTACTAAAGGAACTTGACTGCTTGAGTCAGGACCCTCCGGTGGTTGTCGAGATTCTTCAGGAAGCTGCGGGGGTACTTGTCGAGCTTGACCTCCAGGAACTTCCGGAATGGAAGAGAAAGGTGCCGACGGAAGTCCTCGCTCCATCTCCTCTGCCGGCCCCGAAGCCGAGCGCTTTAGGCCTCGAGTATCGCTCTGCCACCGCATCGTCCAAGGACCTCGCTCTCGACAACGTCTGCTGAAACCACGGCTTTGCAAAGGACCTCGGGGAACTCGAGAAAGCAGGTCTTGTACTGGCGTCCCGGGAGCTGCGGTCGAGCCCGGTGTCTCGGGCACCAAAAGTGAAGACCTCCTCGAAGGAGGCGCCGACATAGCCTCCGCCAGCTCGCCCGGGGAGAGCGCGCCCACGCCCGCCGGCAGGCCAACCGCCTGGTTCTGAACCACCTACAGCATGTCCATGATCTCACCCTCTTCATTGAAGACAACTGCCTGCCTCGACTCGACTCGTCCAGGTCCACGGCCACACGGTCTTTAGCCGCTTCATCGATCACCTCCGTGATGGCCTGCACATGCTCCAAAGCACACTCTGTAATCTGGCCCCGATAGCTCAGAAAGCAGCTGCTGCCAGGTTCTCCTCCGCCAGACTCGGGACTCCACCGCCACCATCAACGCCGGGGCATGGTCCGACGTCTCAGCTCAACTCGCCTCCTTCTCGGGTAGTCGCTGCCGCTGCGTCCTTCTTGCGAGGGTTCACCTTGGTCTGGCACCAGAAGAAGACGATGTCGCCAGGCTCGGGGATCTCGTCCAAGTTGACGCGGCATGCCCTTGCCAACTCAGCTCGCCGCAGCGCTTTCGAGTAGTGAAGGCGAATCATCGAGATTCGGGCCGTCTCGCGCATAGCCACTCGCCAAGGACGGCTTCTCGGTGATCAAGGAGTGCTCTGCCAAGCGTTGGTTAAAGTCCGCCAGCGTGTCACCCAAGGGAAGAGCTTGGCGCCCAGCCACGGCCTGAAGTGGAGAGGTTCCAAACTCGTTGATGTCAGAGTTGTAGGCCGCGACAGCCTCCGCCACAGCGTCCGCCATCTCGTCGCGGTTCAGGATGGCGTGTTGCACCACAATGGAGCCCACCAGACCTTTGAGCACACCGCCCGCTCTCTCACAGACGCCGTTCTGAAAGGGTGCCTGGACGGCCGTGTGAAAGAGAAAGACCGACCTTGCTCCAAGGAACTCCGCGAACTCGGCACTGACGAATTCCCTCCCAGAAGTTCATCATCAGCTCATTCCTCCGCCGCTTGCTCTAGCTCAGCTGCCAGAACTTCTGCCTCCGTTTGGAGAACCCTCTCCAGGGAAGGCTGGGCCTCCGCCGCGTCAGCGTCAAAGACCTCTTCCGTGTCATCCTCGCCTTCCTGCTCATCAAAGTCATCGCGCTGTTCCGCCACATGCGCTTGCCGAGACGGAAGTCCACGCAACGGAGGACGAGAAGTCGAGGAAGCCATAGAAGAAGATCTGGATCGCGCCGTCGACGAGGTCCAGGGCCTAGTCATCGATGCACCGGATAGTCGACGGCGAACTCGTAGGCAAGCGCCTCTGGTAAAACCGGCTGGCAGTCGTAGACACCGGATTCCTGTAAAGGGGGTCGCTGGCGTGAAGGTCCTTGAACAGTCGAAGAGCCTCCGCCTCTATGATTCCATAGCCTTCTTTGCCCGCCAGCGCAGTGTCGAGAAGTTGCTTCCTCAAAGGATCAAGCCCGATCTTCTCTTTCAAGAACCATCCCACCTCGGAGTCAGGAAGAACCACGCCCTCGGCCTTCAAGTCAGCCACGATCGTCCGGAAGCGGGAGCAAAACTCGGAAAGTCTCTCGCCCGGCCGCCTGGCCAGCTCAAGATAGAACTGTGTCCGAAGCGCACCTCTCTTGTCCAGAACGGTCCTGCCATTGATGGATTCAAGCGCATCCAACAGTTTATTCAAGCCATTAAGTCTTCCTCCTCGACCGTGATCTCCGCGCCCTCGGGGTCCGTCGACTTCACGGCCTTCTTGTACTCCAACTCCTTGGGCGTGAATTCTTCACCCCTTTGCCTCGCCGGCCCAGACTGCCGAAGAAGCCAGCGAGCAGCCAGATTGTATTTCCGGGTGCTCTCCAAATCCAAGCCAGTCCATCTCACGCTGAAAGCTTCGCCACGTCAAAGGCGACCCGTCCCAAGTGGGGACCTTGAACCAAGAGCTCGTTCCTGCATCCTTTGCCTCGGCCATCTTCTTCACGAAGGTCAAGAGACAGGGTGGAAACTGCGAGACTGCCTCCACAGCAACAGAAGTTGCCCACTTCTAAGGCTCAGCCCGCTTGCCGCCAAGACCACGTAGAAGACCCGGAGAATCGGGCAGTAGAGGGTGGTCCTGATCGGCTTGGCAAAGTCGGAGTTCACAGCCGCGCGCCCAGGATCGCAAGCCAGCTCCGGCGCCACTGTAGAATGCACTCCGTGGGGACACACAGCGCAGCAGTGCAAACCGAAGGAGCTACACTCTTTTGTCCGCAGCAAAAGGCTAAAGGCCTTGATCAAAAAGGACGCCGAGCGTACAGCTGGGCATTCACTGCCTGCAGGCATGACCAAAGCAAGTAGAAGCTTAAGGGCAATACGCCTAGGATTTCACAAGCAGACTTGAGAGCCACTGGCTGGGACGAAAGCCCAATAATGGACAGGAGTGGCGAGACAGGACGTGAACAACCAGAAAGCGCACGCAGCCCAGCCCTCACTGCCCATTAAAAGAACTGCAACCCTCCTACCAAAACCCTCTAGAAACCTCCAAGATCCCCCCAACACCCCCCAACAGTGCCCCAACATCCAAGATCCCACCAAGATCACCGAAGACCCCCCAAAATCCCCCAAGAGCCCCTCCAAATCCTTGCAAGATGTCCCCAAGATCATGCCAAGAATCCCTCCATGGCAACTCCCAAAATCCAGTCCCCCACCCCCGCCCCGCATCCCCCCCCAAGACCCCAGGCTTATTGCGTGAGGCACTGAAACAAGCTCCCTCCAAGAAGCTTTCGTGACAAACTAGTCTAGCAGGCGAACTGCTATGAGCACCCTTTGACAGAACGTGTACCCAGACAAGCTGAGAAGCCACGAGGGCACATAATTTCCGAACGCAAGAGCTGACACATGCTGACACCAACTCTGCCAGCGTGACACCAGAAAATGCCAACTTATGACTTATGTTATTCGGCTGCACATTTCTTTAAACTTCTTCAGGCTTGTGGCTCACAAAGCACTGCTTCACTGGTTTGCAACAGGTATGTTTTCAGCTCTTGTCATTGGCCCCTTCGTTGGCCTCGCACAAATGACAAAGGGGATGGCCCATTGCTGAAAGTTAAGTAAATGACACTGAACTGCGAACTTCTTTGGTTAGGTTAAACTACAGTTCCTACGCTGCCCGCGCGGTCATGGACTTCCCCGCACACACACAACAAAGTTGAGGCGGCTCTTTTACCTTGAGCCAAATCTATGTGGGCATTGGTCTAAATTAAGGTACCGTGGCTCCCCAAACAATTCACCCCTTCCGCCCGGGCTTCCGCCACCTTCCGCTCGCCAAGCTTTTCGCAAGATTTTACATGATTTATTCCCCACACTCCGCGCGGGGTTCTAGTTGTTACTCGCGCCGTCGCCCGCCACGACCGCGTGCCTTTCCGTCGCGCAAACATTTGGGACGCGCTCATGTTCGCCAAAAATTCGCGTTCTCGCTCGAGACATCCACCCTTTATCAGCTTTTTTTGCGATTGTCGATCAAAAAATACGAGCCCTCGCCTTTAAAGTGCTCTTGGTAGGGGGGGTGGATACCGGACTGGTCGCGCTCTGGTTTTTGAAAATCGCGCTCCCGCGCAAGACATCCTCAAAATTTCATTTTTTTCGTGTTCTAACATCGCGCTTCCGCGCGAGACAATTCGATTTTTTTGACGTTTTGATCATGCTTGTATCTTCAAGAATCCGCAGCAGGGAGTCTTGGCAAAGTTTGCGCGCGAGCTTGGCTGGATCGAGGAGCGGACACATCTCGCGGCACTCCCTGCGAGCCGCTGAAGTCGGCCTTCAGGTGGGCGGAGGAGGCCCAAGGGACGAGGAGTTGCTCTCCAATGCTGAAGGCTTCTGCGGCGGATCGGTCACGCTCCTGGTCGGGGGAAAGGGAGGGTCCGTCCGAGAAGCGGCCCTTTTCTTGTTTGTCAGTTCCAACAGTATTTGCGATTCAGCACTGGAATGTGCGCGGCTGGGTTGAGGGCGGGGATTGCTTTTCTTTTCCGACTTCTGGTCGTTTGGGGCAGACGATCAAGGTCGCAGCGTTGCGGTATGTTGCGGTGGCTTGGGCGGCTCTGAGCAGCGACTTGGAGAGGCTGAAGGACATCTTCGAGTCAGACGACTGCTCCATTTTTATTCAGCGTCCCGGTGTGGAAGAGGCTAATCTGCCAGATTTTCTCGAACACTGGACTCTTCGCGAGTACGTGGAGTTGGCGTTCTTGCGTGCCGCGAGAGGGTCAAGCAGACGTCACAATTTGCACACCGTGTTGTTGCGGATGGAGGGACAAGAATCGACAAAGGCTTTTGATTTTGCGTCCGGCCCTATGAATGAATACTTGGATGTCCTGCGGACTCTGACGCTGAAAGGCAAGGCTTTTCATGTCTTCAGCTTTGAATAGTGGAATAATCAGTTGCGTTGATCAAGGGCTGCTACAACGGGCAGGAGAACGTGGTGTCGGAACTTTTGAAGGTCGGAGCTGCAGATGAGATTAGTCCGTTGTTTACGTTCAAGACGGTCGGCATTCCTCATCAGCCGCGGGTGTCTTCCTCGCCTCTGCACGCCCTACTGGGGGCTTGTGCTTTAGGGGTGGCCGTGGCCCAGCTGAAGGAGGCTATTTAGGACTGTCGGAAATTGCTCAGAGAGGGGGAACGTCATTGTGTGTTATCGGTGCATAATTCTGTCATTTTTTTCAACCGACGCAAGTGCGATCTCTGGAGTGCTTTCTCTGCGAAGAGTCCTGACGGCCNNTGCGGCAGACTGGCAGCAAATGTCAAATGTCATGGGGGCTTATCTGGGGTGCTCTTCTGGCGATGCAGACTAATGATCGGGAGCTTGTCCCGCCGAGCGCTGGCCGGTTTGAGTTCGCCTGTCCGTTCTCGGAAGGGAAAAAAAAGCTGCGCTGTGCTCATACGATGCGCTTGCTACCCTGTGGACCTGCAACGGGCTTGATTGAAATCCAATTCATCGAGACCACGAAGTAGTTCCCGAACAAGAAGGATAATTTAACAGTGCAGAAACGACACAGTAAGGAGTACAAAGTGAGACTTACCTGGTCGAACGGCGGTTTCCTGGCATCTGCGCCTATTGTGAAACGGAAAAATTCTGGTGCAGGGTGTGAGCTTGGCATGCTGTCCGAGATTCAGTCTTAGAGTACTTGTGAGTATATGTATATAGACATATACACATACATATGAATACACACGTATATATATGTCTATATATATATATGTGCATAGCTGCTGCCACTGCACGAAATCATGTCCGAAGTCGGCCTTTGATCTTAAGGTCATCAACTTGAAAACATGTATCGTGGTTGTCCTTCGCGTTCGTGTCGCCAGCTCCTCGCATCGTTCGGAACGATCGTTTCTTTTGCACACCTTCTCTTCGAACACGTCTTCTTATTTCGGCGGGCGACCATATCCTGATATCATTTCACTTAGATTCAGGTTAAACTACACATGTGGGGTTCTTCGGTCCTTTGATTTTTGCGAAACTGCAAAATGCATTTTGGGGAGCTAGAAAAATGCATTTTGTCTTGTGGGGCCCTTTATTTCCATGGTCTTGGAGGATGGATAAAGAAACTGCAAAATGCATTGGGGGCCTGGAAAATGCCTTTTGCTTTGTGGGTCCTTTGATTTGGTGGCCTTGGGGGATGGACATAGGAATGGTGGCCTTGGGGGATACACAAAGGAATTCTTGGGGTCTGGCAAACTGAATTTGGCTTTGTGGGGCCCCTTAATTTCATGGCCTTGGGGGGATGGACAACGAAACATCAAAATGCATTTTTGGGTCCTGTTAACATGCATTTTGCTTTGTGGGGCCCCGTAATTTGAGGGCCTTGGAGGATGGACAAAGGATCTGCAAAATGCATTTTTGGGGGCTAGCAAAACGCATTTTGCTTTGTGGGGCCCCTTAATTTGATGGCCTTGGTCGATGGACAACGAAACTGCAAAATGCATTTTTGGGGCCTGGACAAATGCATTTTGCCTTGTGGGGCCTCTCAACTTGAGGGTGCTGGGTGATGGATAAAAGACCTGGCATTGGGATGCTGGACATGTTTGAATTTCTGGAGCTCACATGCCTTTTGATAAGCTGTTAGAATCCTGTTTAGACAAGCTTGCCGTGTCTCATATCATCAAACCTTGGCACCTCACATGTGGTACACTACCAACCGCCTGCCGCCCGGGCTTCTGCCACCTTCCACGCGCCAGGGTTTTTGCAAGATTTTTGAATGATTTGTCTTCAAAAAACCGGCTAGGAGGAAACCATAGAGAAGTGGATTTGCATCGATGCCCATGTTCGTAGTCAGTCCGACCTCTACGGATCTCTTTCTTGCTCGGGGTCTTCACTGGGGCTGTAACACGTTTTCTTAACAATATTGAAGATTGTTGCACAAGGGAGCACAGTAAACGTGTACATGCCTGTGATTTCTAGATGCTAGATGCCACACAGGATCCTGCTTGGCGCTGCCAGGATCCTTCAGGTACCAAATGATGACAAATGTAGGTGAGAGTCTCTGCACTCCCGCTCAAGCCATCTCCGTATTCTAAAAAGCGTGGCGTACACGTAACAGAGAGCGCTTTCGAATGGCAAGAGTTGCTGCAGAGACATCATGCATGTGCATCGGCATTCCATTACGAAGTTTGCCGGCCTCTGCTGGCCATCGCAGGTGCCCTAAGAGGCGCCCTTCGGATTTCTTGATGGCTGTCTGTCACATGTGATGTGGAGTCGCTGAGAACATGTCGCTTCCATCTGCTATCAGGCCCGACCAGAGGGACCTGACACAGCGGTTCCCATAAGCACCCAAGGCAAGCAAAGACTGAGAAAAGACTGAGATGCAAACTGGGACATAAATCCCAGCCGCTGGATTCTCCGGTGCCTTTGAACTGCATCATTGAAGCATTTATGTCACGGAAGCTTGAAGCCCACACCCCCTGCAAAAGGCGATCTGTGTGGTCACCAACCTGAGACCCGGGGCATGATCTTCTCTGGTGTTGATAAAGCTCTTGAGCATCTTGAGCGCTGAGCTCCGTTCTGCATCAAGAAAGACTTCGTCACCTGCCTTGATCAAATTTACGGTCACGAGCTCAACCTTGGAAAGGTGGTGCTTAGAGTGTCTTCTTTCGCAACTGCGCGTCCGAGTGGGGGGGGGGGGGAACTGAGCACGCCGGGCCACATATCCATTTCTAAGTACCTGGCAACGACATGCGGGAGAAGCCAACAGAGATGCTGTTACGTCCGTTACGTGGAGCACTGGCTTCAAGCCTCCCGCTCGGCGTCGGCACAGATCAATGCCTGGAATCCTGAGCCACCCAAGACCACCCAAGCAAAGAACTTCCGCTTCGCAAGTGCTGCATGGGACTCCCAATCTTCAAGGTGGAGGTGAAGGTAAGATTGTTCGAATCATGACTAGGAAACAGAAGCTTGAGTTCACAGAACGCTAGCTGCGTGCCTGGTGGCGAAATCCAAAAGCGCCCTTACCGAGTGAGACCTGTAAGTGTAACTATGCTGCTTGGAGAAAGAACTGGTCAGTCGACGGCTGAGAACTCGTGACGTCATGGTTTGGAAGAGCCTGTTCCTGCGGTTGATGTGCACGATTGTACGTAATCTCGCCATTAGGTTCCTTTTCGCTTGTGGGTTACCAGCTGCAGAGGCAATATATATTGCGTCAATGTTTTGCAGAAACAGCCATCTAGAAGGCATTCAGATCGCTTTGCTCGCCAGGTTCAACTGCAGCAGGATTCATTTCTGGTACACATGATGACTCCAGGAAGGCTCTTGGCTTCATTCAAAGGCACTTCCTGCAAGCTTAAGCCAGTGAGCGCTAGGTGCCTCGCAGCACTGGCTCAGGCTCACCATGAGGGCCTCAATGATTCAAGCAGAACTGCCTGCAGACTTCTGATGGCCCAATGTCTGCAAGTCATTCCATGCAAGCCTTCGCTCACACAAACTGAGACATGCACCAAGCGGCAGGGGCCAATGCCGCGCATAGTACTGTGCAAAGGCAACCTGTTCAAAGCATCCCGTATCATCCCGTCATCTCTCCATCACAAGTGCGGCTGGTGCGTCATCAATGCACATTCAATGTGCCTCTTAGAGGTGGCCACCAAGCAATCTACAACACGCCAGATCCGCCAATCGACTAATTATTGGAAATTGTTGCTGCGAACCTAGGCAGCCGAAAGCTGCAAGTAAGAACCGACCACATAGCTCCAGAAGTCTGCGCTTTGCTCCAGCCCGAGAAGCGGTAACACAAACCTGACCGTAACTTCAATCCGCGAATAGTCGAACCGATCGAACCGACATCCACATTTACCAATTTGGGTGGCATCTGTGAATTCCAGCTTGCCTGAATGTCTTCATATTCCAGCAATAGTGGTGCAGCTGCATGAATGTGAGAGATGCGTCGCAAAAAATGTTCAGTCAGTTCTGCGGCCTCTGTGCCTCTCAAAAAAGCGAGTAGCTCAGGTTTCCAAAGTACAGTTGCATTCGGAGGTGGTTCTTCTCGCAGCAGAACACCATACTGCCTAATAGGTGATGACTCGTGTGGCCTCAACACACCTTTCTTGATTGCCGCCAATGCCAAGACCAAATGCTCACCGGCTGACAGTTGGTCTGCTTGGAATGCCGGGGCTCCCAAGCTGGCACCACGCCACAAAAGAGAAGAAGTTGGAATTCTGAACACGTCTTCTCCAGCTGCAATGTCTTCCAGGGAATGTACGGCTGTGCCGCCACCAGTGCTTTTGGTGAAGGTCAGCTCGGCCCTCACAGCGCCCCCGGTCCTGCGAATCAGGGTAAGCAGCCTGGTAGCATTGGTAGCCTGGGAGGATCTACTTCGTTGCCGTTCGGTCTTGCAGCTCGAGCGCTCGCAACTCTGCGCTGCTGATATCAACCAGCACATTAGTAGTAAGCTGCCAACCAACCACAAAACGGAGTGCATTTCTGGGCATGATGGCCCCGGAAAATTGGCAGCAACAGTGCGTAGTAAACCCAGCGGCTGATGTGTTTACCTGCAAGCTGATAGCTGCTCGAGCCAACGGCTCTCTGATGCCACTGCTTGACTGGCGCGGGCAAGGGCAACATCTTCCAGACCCGGCGCTTTTTCTGCAGCAACAATGCTTTGGCGCGATTCAACGCTCCTTACAAGGGAGCAAGCTGCCGTTTGCTCTGTGACGTCGTCACTGCGTGTCTGGGCAGCAAGTGAGGCTTAAAGGGGGTGCGCACCCCCCAGAAAGAGCATGGCGCAGCAGAAAAAAAAAGTGCTTAGCTCAGTAGCCTAACCCGTTGTCGAAATGTGCCTCAAAATCCCAAAGTTGGCGCCCTCTCAGTTTTGCTTTCTGCAACGCTCTCAGCCAGTCCAGTGGTCAGGTCTGTCCTCTCGGCCACTTGCTGCAGCAAGCATTGGTGCAGCAGCTGTTGAAGAGAGTCAAGATTTTATGTCCTCATTCTTTGCTGCCCATCTGCTGCATCCTTCAAAACCACCATGAAGATGGATGTTGCATGCAGTCTAAGGCATGCAAACATTGGATTGCTGAGAAGACGACCACCGCACTGGTGCGAAGCTTGCTGGCTTTTCTGGTGGATTCCTGACATGATTAACATGACTACTGCACCGCATTCTACACTGGCATGTTCTGCTAAGCTACATGTAGTGTTTCTTCAAACCATGCTAGAAACGCGCAAGTTCCGTGTTGGTCCAATCCAATGTCTTGAGATAATGGACCTCGGCAAGAGTCAAAAGATAAGAGAATCGCTGAGTCATGCGGTGATCCATGAGCTCGTAGGGTTTAAAATGGCGGCCACATCTTGCAAGCTGACCTTTGAAACATGTATGCAGCAATCAGCGTCCAGACCGAATGCAAGCCATAACCTGCAACACACAAGAACCATGATTCTTGTTGCTGACCGGCAACGATGTCTACTCGGATCTGGAAGTCCTTGATGCCTGCAGTATATCACCAGGTGCCAGCAACTGCAGGACATGCCCAGCTTTAACATGGCGTGAATGATTGTATATTCAGGGCAAAGCCAGCGAAGTTCATCTGAACACGCCTGGCACTGCTTTGTATTGCAATTCCAGCCAAGGGTATATGACGCTGAGCGCAGCTCCCCTGGGCCATGACCCGTGGGTTCTTCATATAGTTCCTAGGGCCACGGGACAAAATCTAAAATGCATGACAAAGCCTGAAACGTGACCGAGAACTCTAGAGACGATTGTAGTTGCTCTGGGGAGGCTGCATCAAGGCAGCCTCCAACCACAGCACGTTGTCAACACGGTCTGTGCCCTGGCTGCATACACAAGGTCTTGACTACGCAAGTCTGTCCTGAATGCTTGCTCTGACAGCTTGGGCAACTCATGTCCTGGCAGCAACTATGTGCACGAAACTGTTACAGACAATGTTCATCTGTACAAGGCTTTGTGACATGAACCCTGTCCGTGATGCGGCTTGGAACCCGAATCTGACAACAACATGCTTTGCGTATCTGGATTTGTGTTGGTATTTGGTGTGGCCTTGAAGTCCTGATCTGTCAGGTAGCCTACTGAGCCTGCAGTCTCCCGCCTGCTTGTTCTGAATCTCCTCCAGTCCGCTGGCACGGCCTCAGAGGCAAAAGAGGGAAATTGCTGAGAAGGTCCAGTCAGCCGTGGTCCAACGGTGCAAGGCCAAGTCGGAATCTGGAAAGAGGGGTGCTCTTCGCGGAAATGTTTGTCGAATATGTTTATTCCCAGAACCGGAGCGCGGCAAGATCAGCATTTCAGGGCTTCATACCAGGTGCCATCGCGACTGTACCAGAAAAATTGGCTGAAGACAGACACATGTGATCAACCTCAGTGTTGCCTTACCTAACACTCGAGAGGTCGTGCCTGAGCAAGAGTCAGAATGATGTGCGGAAACTGCATTCGATTCAAAAAGTATCAAGTCCAGGTCACCGTAAATGTTGAACAGCGTAGGTCCAATTTGCGTCTGCCCAGCCTGAGTCTTGAAAGCAGCCTGACACTTTTCAGACGAAATCGAAGCAGCTCTCGCTCGTTCCGCAGGGCTCATTGCAGTCCAGATACTCTTGTAAGACGGTTATCTGGATAGATGGAGTGGCACTGGGCACAGTACTTCTTGAAGTACCTTGGTGCTCCAGCATAGCTACAAGACTCCGGAGCAGAGGCTGCCAAATCTCTGCTGGGGGACTTCTCACCCTTTTGTATGCTGCCCGATGGAAGTTGAAAGTCATCCGGAACATCGTCAAAGGCCTTGCCCGCCAACACCCCGTCACTGAAAATGAGTCAGATGGAACAACCTCTGCCGGAGCCCGAGCCCCAAACAGACAGGCTGCCAGCGCCACCTCCAAACATTGCGCCGGAGTGCTCCTAAGCAGCGGCAAGGCCGCAGATCTCTGCTTGTTCTCAACACACTTTTTGCTGCCTCGCATTGCAATTGGCCAGTTCTCTGCCACCTCAGCCTGAGCAAGCTGGATTATCTTGGCCCTGTGTTTGCAACATCACGGACTGCCACGTGAGTGTGTCAATCAACTCGGACCTGAACAAACTTACCAAGGAGAACGCAGCCATGGCAACACTGAAGCTAGCTACCTGCTCAAGGGCAAAACGTCCTGCAGAGTCGACAAGACAGGGTCCAAGTCAAAGTGGTGAAGGCTGGAACATCTTTGGCACCTTTTCGTCAAGCTTGCTGCAATTTAGCGCTGTGGAGTATCTGGTCTAGCAGGGAGTTGCTCCACAAGATCTTCGGCACAAGCGAGCTCTCGCACTCCTGAGAATGCTTTAGAAATTCAAAGCACAACGCTTCGAGGATTCGTCAGCGGTGGTCCATCAAACAATGAAAGCAGCTCTCTACCCTTTCTGCTTCTTGCCCCTTTGTTGGAGCCTGCGGGGTCCACAACAGGATTTCGGAAAAGTGCTCGTTGCTGGATCCTTGAAACTCAGAAAGCCTCAACTCCAGGTGTGCAGCCCACTCCGCGTTCATCAACGCTGTGCACATGAATCTGAAGCCACACACCCACCTTTTATGGCCATGCTATCTGTTGTTGCAACGTGATGAACCACGGCGGGAAGAACTGCTGCCTGCTGACTCAAAGCTCTTTCTAGCAAGCAAGGCAACGAAGTAAGATGATGTAAGCCAACACGAGCGTCGTTCCTTTTTCCTGCGCAGTTGGGACACGACGCTCTGAGCCACACCTCCGTACCCTCATATAAACCTGGTACAGCAAATCCTGGCTTCCTATCAGCTCCCCCACGCATTGTCCTCCTTGCTGCGAGCCCCACAGCCGAGGCAGATGCGAGCTAGCGTACTTAAGCTTGAGGCTTTTAGCATCATCTGAGCCAAGGCATCCCACTTAATGATGCGTAGCTACTGTGGCTCGCACGCGCTAGAAATGCGAACATAAAACAAAGCTGGCCAACATGGTGACGAGAGTCTTGGGAGTCCAGCTCGGCCATCTGCCCAGTGCCTATGGCTCACGTAGCCCCATGAGGCAAGGCGGAGGCGCGCCTCAGCCCCATAGCATTTGCGAGATTTGTTAGCTGACGTTCCGAGAATTTGCATTGAAGATCAAGACCAAGCAGGCTGTTCCCCTGAATATGTTTACGTTGTTACAAGGAAAAGACTGGAAATGTGGAAACCAGCAGCTGCACCAGCTCAAGATTTCTAGGTGAAAACCTCGGCAAGGACAGCTCCATGCCCAAAGAATTCCAAAGGAAGCAGACCAGACCTCTGTACGCAAATGTATACATGAAGACATCATATGCCTGCGATCTTTGAGGATTTCAGGATCTGCTCTCCCCAGCGCAACGAGATCTTCTTCCTCATCTCATCGGCGTCACTCGTGAATCTTCAACTGCAATCAATAAGATCATCCATTCTTTTCCTGTGTCTACCTCCTCTTGTGCCTCTAGTCCCTCTGGCGCCGTGTTCTGTTTGGCCGAGGGTACACATTTCTTTGTTTATGGAATTCCTGCTCTGGGGGTGCCCTGCATGCTTGTTCTCCTGTTTGGGTCGTTCTGTGCATGGTCTCTATGATGAAAAAAACGCTGGAAATCGGCATCTGCCCCTGCCATGTCATGCGGCTGAGCTGGTCACCGCCGCAAGATGTAGTGTTGAAGCGCATGCTTTCAGAAAAGTCACGGAGTCATCAACGATCGTAAAGCCAGCCTAGGCAACTACCACTATCTGCCACTTCACGCGATTACACTGTAGCAGGCAGGATACGGCACAATCAACGGATGATAGTTCTTCATCTTAATCCAAGCCACGCCAGATGTGGCACCGGCTGCTTGGCTCAGCGACACCACTGATTCAACCTTTTCTTCCACTGTCCCGAGTCCACAATGCAACTGCCAACCTTCCCGGTCAGCCCAAGATCCCTGGAAGTCCGGAGGGTCGAAGGGAAGGTCCACTGCGCCTTCACTTGCATGTTGTAGGGCACTGATTGTGGAAACCTGATCACGGCTTGTGACAATATGTACACTCTCATGTATTGTGCCTGCAGCAGCTGCCAGCCAAACAACTCGCAGCACATCACTGTAGAATTGCGTCTGCACAAGGACGCCTTCGGACCTATTCTGACGCCTCGCATCTGCCATTGCCTCTTGCAGCTGTGTGATGCTCAGATTCCCCCATCGCATCAGCAAGAGCTCCCGCAGGCCGAATTCACCAGGTGCACCCAACCAGTTGCACTCGATTTCCCCAATAGTTAGCGGCCGAGCACCACCTTGCCCTTTGGCTCGGTTCGCTCTGCAGGCAACTGCCTCCTCAACACAAAGCCTCGCAAAAAGGAGCATTTCCCATCCTGCTTGACATGCAGGACGAAGTTTTTGTAGTTTATAGAGCAGCCAGGGAGGTGCGTCTGTAAACATAGATGCCTTGTGCTCCAACAGCTTTTGCCAGTCGTAGTCCACCCAGCTTTGACGAACGCCAGCCTCGTTCAGCGTAATGTCATCCGCAGTGTTCATCACGTCTGGCCACAGCTGGAAAGCAGCCCGGCAGGCTGCTGTAGCAATCTCTTCTGCATCAGCACAAATGACCCCATCCAACCCCAGCACCAGCCGAGGTGGTTCTGATGTTCCTGCCGCAGTGCGCAACGGTCTGCTGCCTGACAGGAGAAGAATCAAACTACCTAGAGCTGGAAGATCTTTGAAGATCACTCAAACCCTCCAAACCCGTTGCCCAACTGTTGGGAAACCATTTTCGACCTCTTCAAGATGCCTCTCAGTCCGTTGCGCTGACGGGCTGACAGTAGCAGAACAGCTGTTGCCACACCAGTAAATACCCGAGCTGGTGCATTCGTTTGCAGTTCGACACTAAGGCAACATCGCGCTGTTGGCTGTGCTTCAGCTGACGCATGCTGCCGAAGGCAAAATCCTTGCACCCGGACCTGTGCTACTGGTACGCCGAGGAGGTTGGGTTCTGTGCTTACATTGATGTTTGTGGCAGAGGGTCAGGGTTTCCACTTTGGCTGAAAGGCAAGCTGCTAGCAGCCCTTTCAATCACACCCACGTAATGAGGCATGCGATCCCTACGCTACAGCGTCACATTTTGACAAAACCGTCCACCAAACTGCACTTCAACTTTGCAGCTTCAGCACTTGAGCAGTCAGCATCAGTCAGCAAAGACTTGTGCAAAAGTTATTGTGGAAATCCAGATTGAAGGATGCCCCTTTATGTCCCCGATTTCTTGTGGCCTGAGGCTACCCATGGATCTTTCTTGCCCTTGAAGACTATCAGCGCTTTGCTGCGCTTTGTGCTCTGCAAGAGTCTGTACGGCACATTAATTTCCCTTTGCAGCACCCCTCTGCATCAAATATCAATGCACAACCCCGTCCTTGCAAGTGGCAGCGTAGACGGCCCATGGCCAATGCATTGACAAGAGACACGTCAGCGAATTAATGGTCTGTTCGGTACCAGCGAAAGTGCTGCCGCGAAGAACCACTCACACTACGCCTACACTGGGATGGCGCTGTTCCTTGTTCCCACGATCTGCAATGACTTCAGCTCCAGAAGCGTGTTTGTCAGCTTGAACAAGGCCGCAGGCCGCATTGCCACGCTAGATGACATCCACCCTGGTCTGCTCATTCTGCTGTTGTAGACTGCGCCATGCGCAATGGCCAATTTGCTGGAGTCCTCACAGCTCCTTGATTTATTGCTTCCTGCAATGTCTTTTATCTCTCAGAACCCCCTGTATCTTTGCGTCTCTTACCCCTGGCTGCTTTGTCAAGCAGTTCTTGCGCAATGTAACCACATTTCCTTTTTTCCATCCTTCCATTGTATCTTTTGTTATGCTCTTGCTTCCTTCCTCCTGTCCTTTCTGCATTGCAGCCTTCGGGCTGTCTGTGTAGCTCATGTCGCACTAATGTGAACATTGTTGTTTTCATGCTTAGAGCTTTGTGCAAACTTGCTTCTACGCGTAGCCACGGTTGGCTCTGCGCGGAATCAACCTTCAACCTCTCTGGCTCCGCAGTGAGCTGCGTCATTTCTTGCCATCTGCGATAGCCACTTCGTCCTCAAACCAAGCCCCGCTTGGGAGACACGAACCTGCCCAGGACACCTCGGACAAAGCTCTAAGACTGTCCCAAGTTCTCTAGTGTTCTAGATCCTGGATATTCCAATACCATATTGCAGGTGGCAAGTTGCAGACTGCGCAGGGCTTCCTGATGTAGCTAACCACTTGCAAGCCGCTGGCACAAAGACAGAGGGCATGTCTGATCACATCTTGGCACTTTAGCCTCTGATCAGCTCACATCTTGTGCTGGCTTGCAATACCAACAGCTTCTACATTTCAACTCTAGGCCATACAGCAAGAGCAAACCCAAAAAGTGAAGTATGCGGGAAGCCTTCATGCGCACGCCGTGTTGATAGATTATCTAAGGTAAAGGCGTGCGGCCTCGTGGGCGGGCAGACACGCTGCGGATGGCGTATTCAAAAACCATGCTTTGCATGGTACAGAGAATTCCATGAGTGGTTATGGGTGAGACCGTGGCGGCTTGGCAAGCCATGATTGCGGGCACATGGCCATAAACTCGGGCAGCATGCCCCCCTGGATCCACGCAGCTCGCGGGCTTCTCGTCTTAAAATCTGCATGCATCATGTGCTGCCTGTGAATACAGGTCTTGAGGCAGGCGTCTACGTCACTACTTGCTTCGGCACAGTCGCGAAGTCGGAAAACAAGAGTATCTGAGTATCTGCAACTGTTTGCAAGTCTCAGCCTGGACTCTGCGCTGGAGGCGTCCTTGCACACTTGCGAGCGCCCACACCTGCTCGAGGAAATGCTAGTGATGTGACAGCCTCTAGCAGTTGCTGTGCTGAGCGTACTTCAGGAAACTGAACACGAGTCTGCAGGAAGATTCATGGAAAGGCCATAGCCGCCTTCCCAAAGGGCTAGCTCTTGTCGGGCATGTCCTACAGCATCTGTGTTAGACTTTCTTGGTTGCGTCCTCTCTAGCGTAACGCCAGGTGCAGGCTCATTCAATCACTTTGCACATTGGTTGGGCTGGTCCTTTTTCTTCTTCTGGCTCCACCAAAGCTTCCTGCACAGGATTCGTAGAACTGTCATGTGCCATCCGGCGAACTTTGTAGCGGGTTCAAGTAGCTTTTGAAGGTACTGCCTCTTGGCAGCCGTCAACGGGTACGGCTTGAAGTAAGCGATTGCTTGGTAAACAGCCTTACAGAGCAAACGCTGTCAGCCAGATCCACTAGGGTCACTAGCTTCATTCTCAGGCTTGGTTCAAGAGGCATCAACGCCCCTCTGTGTAAGCTTCGAACCAGGTCTATGAGCAGCAGAAGCGGCGTAAGAAACTGCAGGTGTGGCCAGGTTGCGCGGTTCTCACTGTGACTGGTCCGCTTGCAGCTTTCGCTGAGTCTGCCACAAGAGCCGCGGCATAGCGGGCTTCTGTGAACATTGCACTCATGGCTCCTGGGCCACCAGCGACTTCACTGCGAAGCATGCTATGCTCAAGTCAACTCCGCACTGCCTGCAATTTTCGGTTGCATCATGTCCGTGCCCAGAGGCGTCTCAGCCAGTACGGCCAACCTGGCTTTGCACGGAATTGGCCAAGGACTTTGAAGCTAAGCCCGAAACAATGTTGTAGGGCTGGCGTAACTGCCAAACACAGGAACGAGAAGAATATGATCTCGGTCCGAGGCGACTGCATGAACACTGTGTTGCAGCTAACAAGAAACTGACTCCTGCAATCACAATAAAACGACTTCATGCTGAGTCAGGTGCTCCAACAGTCTCTTTGGAGAAAGGACTTTCCGCGACCATCCACAACCGAAAGTTGACGAAAATCTGCACGCAACAAGCTGGATTTGTGAGAAGGATAACAGACAAAAAGTGTGTCTCGGTGCAAGGCCACAACCAAGCAGAAGGAAATGCACGATGAATACCAGAAGGGGTTTCCATCCTGGATATATGAACTTGCTGAGCCGTGCTGCTAGAACCATGGTCCCGACCTCCTCGTCGATAGAGCCAACCGTCAGGTTCGGAACGAGCCAGGATACTCCACCATGGTAGAACGCACTAGCAGGGCAGCGAAAACGACGCATTTCGAGGATGCACAGAAAGATAGTCATGAAGAAAGGCCTCAGCACCCACGCCACCAGCAATGGGGCGTTGAAGCGCATTCGCCTGAAATAGCGTGCTGAAATAGTGTGCGTGCCAGTGAGCGCCTTCCAAATTATTTGTGGCACAGGGGGTGCAAAACCAAGCGGTTACCGCAAATTTTCACTGCGGCCCTTGCTGCAGACCTTCAACGTAAAGCTCCGGAGATGCGACAGCGACCTGGCTTTAAGAATTGTGAGAGCCAAAGAGTGCTATGGCAAAGGAGGGCCACCTCATCTGGTACATCAGTATCCAAACTGACCACCACCAGCACCGGCAAGCCACAAATAACGGAAGCAAACCTGAGCAAATTATGCAGTCATGTGCTCCTGGCACATCATCAATCAAGTTGCTTGAGGTTCTAACGCTGAGTTCAGCCACTCGGCGTAGGCGATTTGAGGGACAAACCTGGATATGAACCCGCTGAGATGCGAGCATGGAATCTTGGACCGGGTTTCCAACCCAATTTGATGCGCATAGAAAATATCGCCGACGGCCAGCGTAGTGTGCTTGTAAAACATGTAGCATATGAATGTAGCCACACGCCGGTAGGCGCGCCTTCCTTGGAGGCAGCGCTTTGGGCGATGTAGAGTTCTGACACTGTCCTGCACGTCGTTGTTCAGGACCCGGCCGTGACAGTAAAGCAGTGGAACGAGGAAGCGAAATTGTGATATCGCAACATCGCTGGCCTGCAACAAGAGCATTAGAACATGGACTCTTGCAAGTTGTCAGGCTTCTTGCCCAAGAAAATAGGCCAATGTCGACAACCAAGCAGCTAACGGGCCGAGCAGTGTATCATCCACTAGCTGTGTTGAATCAACGGCCTTCTCACATTGTCAGTATGAGGCGATCATGACACGCGGCAGAGCTTTTTTTTCAAAGAACAAAAATGCAATGCAAAAGCAACCAAACCAAGATGGGCGCGCCGGGATTCTCTAGGTGAAGAACACATCAACACCATTCAGCAAAGGAAGCGACCGTCCTCAAGATGCGTGCCTGCTCATGTGGGGCAAATACACTGATACAGTATCATTCACCCAACCAGTGCGACAAGGGGGTGGGAGCGGGTACAGCTTCAGATGGGCTGGGCTGGCGTGTGCCATTTCGTGCCCCATAAAGTACAATCACCCCCCTTCAGCACCAAATCACCACAAAGATCCAAAGCATTACCGGGCGGGATCTCCATTAACCGCTGTTACGGGTAAATGCAACTTAGGAACAATTCACAGCTTGTGTACACGGGACTGCGAAAGACCTTTTGATTGATTGCTGGAGGCCGTTGATTAAAGACTACGCGTTCATCTGCGACCGGCTAAGGGACCGAGCAGCACTGCTAGGCGTAAATGAGCCAACGGGTAAGCAAGAACACGCACACCGGTGCGCGTGCGCTGGAGTGGGATGCTTTTGAAGCTGAAGGGATGCCAAGAAGGGAGGGGCTTTCGACACGAGAACCTGAGGGCGGGGGCGGGGTAGGAGAGTTGGTAGCAACTCTTGAAAGTTCGGAACAGTGACTCATGATTCTTCATAGCATCCAAATGATCCATACTCAACAGTTCATTGTTGGCACTTCTTCAAGGTAGTTTTTGAGACCTATATGGTCAGCGTGCTACCTTCCGTCGTCAATTATTGTCAAGCTTGCCGTTGCCAACTTCATTTTCGTAGAAGTACCACTGACATCACGACTATGAGTTGCCGTTTCTCCCTCTCCGTTACTGCACCTGTAGCAGCCTTCATCGCCACCATCTACCTTCATTATGGCACATCTCTCCTCCATTTCCATCACATAGCCCTCCTCCATCTCGACCAGTGTGTTGAAGTCGTAGGGTTTAGAAGCTGAAGCATTCGGTGTTGGGGGTTTTGGGTACTGTTGGTCGTGATGTATACGAGCTAGGTGGCGGTTAAGTTTGCAGGGTTACGCCTGGGGTTGAAGGCCGAAGGATGATGCGATTGCCCCGTGCTGAGCTGACTACGCGTTTACTGAGCAGATGTGGGGCACTTTCTCAAGACGAGGGCGGTGCTGTTCTTCCACAGTTGATTACTGTCACGTGTCGGCCCTGTGCAAGATGGTTTGAAGTTGACAAGCCACAGGCCAGGGCGGCGCCACAGCAAGGGCCATTCAAACCAATCCGCCGAGGCCCCTGGCCTCGGGCGCTTCTTCAAGCAAGACTCTACCCACCCCCCCTTCCCCCCCCTCCCCAGCGGAGCGGTGCGCCCCCCACGATACACATGCTAAAGGAGATTTTGCAAGGGCATTGAGGTATTGCTGTGCTTCAGCACATTTAGGGCTCTGTAAGGGGCTGCAGCGTAAGCAGCTTATATGGCAAGACAGTGCAGGGCTTCTCTTCTTAGAGTATGATGGCACTAGGAAGGGACAAGTTGATTTGAAGCAGTCTTGTTCCAGGCTGCTATGCAGCAAGAATTCGGCTCAGCACCCACAACGGCCCGCATTGCGGGAAATTACTTAAGTGTGTCTTGGAGGGTTAGTGGGTCTGGTTCATATTCCCGTATTGCATGCAATCGCTCATTTTGTCGCATGGTTCGCATTTGGCGGCAAGTCAGTCTATGGGGGTCGGGCCTCAGGCTTGCGGCGGAAGCAGATGATGCTGGGAGCCTGGTCTAAAGTTCTGTGAAATTTTTCTTTTTCGTATTTTTCAACGGCTTGCCCCCTCAGACGTCCCCTCGCCCGCCCCCCCAAGCCTTCCCCCCTGTAGCCTTTCCTCCCCGCTCGCTCTTTTGTCTTTCTGGTCGGCCTGTCAACCCATTTACAAAGGCATTGAAGTATTGCAGCACGCGTAGAGCTTTGTAAGGGGTTGTGTAAGCAGTTTATACGGCCTAGGCCCACCCCCCAACCCCCTCCGGCCCCCACCCATCCCCGGCTCCCGGCCTTCCCGCCAGCCCCTTTCTGCTCCCTGTTCCGCGTTTTTCTGGTCGGCCTGTCAACCCAACTATGCAGGCAAACTGGGGAGATTTTACAAGGCCATTCAAGTATTGCACAAGCCTTCACAAGACTACTATGTTTCTACTGTGTTTCAGCAGCACATCTAAGGCTCTGCAAAGGGGTTCTGTACAAGACTATGCAGGGCTTCCATTCGTAAAGTATGATGGCGCTATGTACATCTCAATTTTTCTCCATGATGCTGCTGCCCTCAACCTTCCTGCTTCAGCAACCCGTTGGACCTGCCGAATAAACATGTGCTGCCACTCTGACGGCAGCTGCACTATCTCTGAGACGGCACTGCTGACCGGCACTCGAGCCGGCCGAGGCGGCGCGCGGTAGCGTTATATAATATTAAGGTCCAGTTGCATAAGAGCAACCATGAAAAACGAGCTCAAAGTGTATTAAAGTCCGCTTGCTTCTATGAGCGACCAACAGCGACTAAGATTGTAAATGCACTTTTGAACGGTTGTGACGAGCCACTTGTTGGGACCATTCAGGATTTCTTGCTTCCTCAATGCGCCTCGTGCATTGGCTTGCATTTTGGGAAACAGGCTCTTTGTAGCCGTGGTGACATTTTTACATGCCCAATTTCGGACTTTCCCCATTCCATTAAACCATCAAAATCTGGCACTACCCCACCTGTAGAAAGCATGCCCTTTTTTCAGGATTTCTTGCGAAAAACAAGCCATTACACGTTGCTTTTTGAACGATAAAATATTTTTCTCAGGGGAAGGACGGCTCGGCTCGACTTGCAAATGTTAAGGAACTGAAGGTTAAGCGATCCTTAGCATGTTCTATCTATGGGTGCAAAATTCGATCTTCAAAAAAAAACAAAGATGTTATTTTAACCACTTGAGGATGACTATGACCGTAGCAGTGTCCGCTGTCGTAATAGTGGAGATGGTGGTGGTGGTGGTGGTGGTGGTGGTGGTGGTGGTGGTGGAGGAGGTCGTGGTGGTGGTGGTGGTGGTGGTGGTGGCGGCGGCGGCGGCGGTGGTGGTGGTGCTGGTGGTGGTGGTGGTGGTGGTGATGGTGGTAGTTGTAGCACTAGTAGTAGTAATAGTAATAGTAGCAGAATTGGTATTGTTATTGCTCTTACTCTTACTCTTACAAGGATTGCAAAACGCCGCCCGAAGGCGGGTCCAGAGCCCGACGGCCAAGCTGCCACTAACGCGGTGGATCAGCCCAGTTGGGGAACCGGCATCGAAATCGACCTCGGCGCTGCAAGTCCGCCCCAGGCCCAAGGACCCTCAAGCTTCGAAATCCGGAGATTTGCGCCATGGTTTCCGTCTGTAGAACAACTGAAAACGCATGAGATGTGACCTCTGTCGTCGTAAGCTTTTCAAGTTGGGATCTTAATACGGACACCTGAATCCTCAACAACTCCACCTCCTGTTCCAGCAGCTGGCGAGCTACCTTCCTCCTATTCCGACGGGCACGGTGCAGCTCAGAGTTTGCGCAGGCCTTTCTCTCTTGCAATTGGCTGGATCCATCCATGCTCCCCGTACCTACTAGCTCTACGTGAACTATGTCGCTTGACGACTATGTGCACCTGCCCCGAAATGCAACAGACATGTCACGCGGCCTAAGCTTGATTGCCATCATCAACACCCCGCGGTTTGCGAGCTGGGGCGAGCAACGACTTTCTGATGATCGCTATACGTGGTACAAAGCCACGCGTGAGCACTGCGCGTTGCTTTCTCGGAACCTCCGCTCCACAGCTATGATGTTCCTCTCGTCTATCATGTAGTAGACGTCCTTTATGTCAGCTATCATGTAGTCTTCTTCGCCGTCAAGAATGTCTGGCCTACCAGCTTCTCGGAAGTCAGAGTCTTCTGCCCTTGTGACCACTTGCCCGCGCACGCCAGCTGGCACATCAACTTGCTTCAAAGGTGCACAGCCCATGACCACCCAAGCACGGCAGGCCACTGTTGACTCAAACCATGCGTTCAATGAGAATCTGGTTGCGCATCGCTCCCCGGTCCGTGTTCCGCAATCTGTGGTAGACATGTCTGCCTGTGTCAAAACATTGCAGGTAACCACCGCGTTGTCTTCAAGGTTTGAACCTGCAACGTTTGAAAAAACCTCGAAATACTCTGCGGCACCCGGCTCGTCTGCATTCTCGTTCTGAACGCCGTCCTCGCTCGAAAGATGCAGGCTTGTGTTTCTTCCGACCCCGAGCAACTTACACACGCAAGAGGGAGACCTGTGTTTTCAGTCTGGTCATTCTGCATCACGCTGGCCTTTCCCGCCTCCATTTCCGTCTCAGCGTGAGCCTCAAGGCTCTTAACCTGTAGAACAACTGAAAACGCATCAGATCTGACCTCTGTTGTTGAAAGCTTAGAACGGACACCTGAATCCTCAACAACTCCACCTCCTGTCCCTGGAGGCTATGGGGATGAGGTCGTGGCTCTTGGCTGAAGTCCGATGGTTGATCAAGGGTGAGGTGTCACCCTTGGGTTGATCTGCTTCATGGCGATTTCCACTCCTCGGACGTATCCCAGTGAAGGAGAGGTTCATGAAGCTTTCGGGGCGCCAAGTTTGTGTGTCCCAAAAGAACAAGTTCCGTGACCCACAAAACAAGACCATGTTGATGATGGCAATCAAGCTTAGGCCGCGTGACATGTCTGTTGCATTTCGGGGCCGGTGCACATAGTCGTCAAGCGACATAGTTCACGTAGAGCTAGTAGGTACGGGGAGCATGGATGGACCCAGCCAATTGCGTGAGAAAAAGGCCTGCGCAAACTCTGA